TGGACAGTTGAGCACAGTGAATCATTTGTCCACTTTAATCATCAATCACATATAGGCAGCCAAATGTGGTATGACCGCAACTCTGCCCCTGTCTGCATTTGTCAGGATGATGACCATCCATCATCGATCATGTTGTAAAATTACTGCATAATATGAAATGTGAATAATAATTACTATGTCAGCTAGCCTACTGAGATATACAGGACTCACTGTGGTACTTAATGGAACGCCTACATAACAATCTTGTGGCCTCAGGTCAGCGTTTCATGTTAATTACATATTTTTCTGAGATCAGTGATAAACTTGTTGAGGCGTTTTCCAAATTCACTTCACCTTTCAAACCTCACACGCTGGATCTTTATTTTGTTAGCACGTCATTACCGATTAAATAAGAAAAGAATCTGAGAAGTTTCAACACATTTAGGACCCATGCAAAGTTCACACTGTGGGATGCTTGGAAATGTTTGAGTTGTTTAACAGGAATGTTTTTTTTATTTTTTTTTATTTATCAAGTATTGAAAATGGCCTCTTTCTTTGATCAGATTTATGAATCATCTTCTACATTTCTTGGGACTTTCATAAAATGAATCGCATCCATTATAACTGACTTTCTCTTACCCCTCAGTATATATTTTTTTGAGGTCAAATTAACATTAAATATTACATTTCAGCATGTTTCTATAAGGGCCATATTTCAATTATCTTCTTCCACCCAACAGAAGAAAAAAGGATGAGCCAAAATTCATGATGCTCACTGAGAAACTTTCATTTCTTTACAGTCTAAATAAGTGATTAAATCATTTTAAAACTCCATGGTAATTAGTGATAAAAAAGCCAGAACACCTCAACTGTGAATGTAAAGCAGTGAGTAAACTATGCGAAAAACCATATGCCTGAGATGGAGCGTGGATTTTTGCTGTCTATGGCATAATGATGAATAATAGCCTTATCAACAAAGCACAACACATCCCAACACGTGGCGATCTTATCACTGCTCATTTCCTCAACTCATGTATTTCCTGTATCTCCAGTGGAAAATGTGTCGTGTCGTTCCCTGCACTGTAAGTGACAGCCTAGTCATGTCAAAAGACTCAGGCTTTATGGCACAAGACAAGAAAGAAAAAAGTGGCAAGTATAAGCGGATGCATCAGCAGTATTTGCAAAAAGTCACCAGATTCCCACAAGGGACATGCTTGTCATTAAAACAAACAAGAAAAGAACTGATAGGTGCATTAATCAGAGAGCAGCCAAGCATCGATGGTGGTGAGCTGTAGTTTGTTGGCGTTTCTCCCCAGGAGCGGTTGCACCTGAGGGAGGGGGGATTAACGGAGCTCCATACTGGAGCTCCTGCATCTGAAATCTGCCTGAGCTCATCGTTTCTGCTCTTCTCTAAGAGGCTGTGACTGGATATCAGGCAATCTATTCCCCTGCAGAGCGTTGGCTGACCGACATCAATGCCGTGCATTGTCGAATTATTAATTAAATGCATGCAAGCATAATCAGATGCAGACATGGTCAGACCTTTGGGACAGCTAACATAGAATTGAAGCTGAATCTAAATTGCAGATTTCTTCTTATTTTTCAATGGCAGGTAGCTGTGCTGATTTAGGAACAAAGTCTTGCAGCCTTAAAAATTTAGCATCACTTTGCACTTATTTAAACTTTGTTTAACATGCAAAATATGCACAGCCATGACTTTTATTTACAATCCAGACTCACAAGAGAAGGAAATACATCACTAAATAAGCTTAAACAAGCTTGTGTCTGCCTTACACTCAAATATTACTATATAGGTTGCAGCATAAATATGTTTACACAGACAAGTAAGAGATAAGATGTGGGTGTATGCTGTGTTATATGTTCTTCATTCCCTCTCCACAGACGTGCAAAATGTAAATGCCACAGCTTTAAAAAGTAAAGCAAAGTCCAGGTCCTGCCTTCATATATTTCATTAACTTTTGTTAATGCAGCTGCTATGGCTCCAGGGTATTTGCGCAATGCTCAATGCACTTTTGCTGAAATAATAAGATCTATCAGTCAGCACAAAGCAAAAACAGCTTAATTTGCAGAATAAAGGTCATTGGAGCTGTTACTTTTGAGGGGCTTTGACAGAAAACAGTGTTCAAAACAACAAACTCTAGAAGAAACTCTGCCTTGAAATATTACATTATACTGAGATGTTCACATGAAATACTCAAAACTCTGTGTCAAGCATATAACGCTGAGCGAACTATTATAATTTGCCCTTGTGAACTGGACCCAACCCACTCATAATCCTGTATGTACTCCACATCCCGATATGTTGCTGGAGACAATTCACACTGCCAACAACAGATCTGGTCTGGGGGGAAAACTATTTCTCAGCATACGTGCGTTCAGATTTTTTAATTCACATGTGATTAAGAGATTATTGAGCTTGCATGAGTTCAAAGCAGTGGCTGATCAAGTGTTAATTGCATTTATTGAATAAATAAAGAATGAATTATGTGGCTTCTATCAAATCAAACAGAAATGTAAAATGTACACTATAGTCTCACATTCTTTCATTATGTCTACTCTACATTGTGAATGGATATTACCATGTAAAATCGGATTCCTACCATGGAAAGTAATTTCTGTCCTCATAAAGTGAGAAAGCTGTCAGCCTTCCACAGCCATGCTCTTTCATTAATCAGCACTAATTAATTGTATTGATTGAGGCAAACATCAGGATTTCTGGTTGAAAGGGTTTACTAGACTGTAAAGTGCACACAACAAAAAACTGGCAAATGCACAAGCCACTTATGTGCCCCTGAAGGATGCATCACTTTGGAAGAGCTCAGAAAATGAGACAAAGATGTGTCTGCTCACTTCTCATTAAATAATGTCAGAATTCACAGCATCTCCGTGGAAAATGTCGTCCTTGGCTCTACTGACGTCCTTGGCTCTAGTGAGAACCGAAGCCACTGAAGCTGAACTGAGTATCAATTTGTTTTCTGGCAGCATAACCTCTCATCGCTGGAAAAGTTGCATGAAATCACAGCTTGAACCGACCCTAACAATGGAGGACCACCACATGGTATGCCACTTTAGTAATGGGGAAATTAACTTTTAAGCTCACTAAACATGTTACACTACTTCCAAGTGCATGCTATCCACTGAAACTAGCATGTGGGTCCAACAAAAAACAATGACCACATAAATGTTCTGCACATACAAATAAATATTTAAAAAATGATATTGCAGGTATTTTTGTTCAGTATTTTTAATTTGAAAAGTTGTGTTACTGTGCGTTATAATGAGATGAGCATATAAGTATTGAGCAGATAATGCTATCCAAAGAAAACCTTGTATCTCCAAAATGGTTAAAGCTAAAAGGATTAAGAAAATTGTCCTACTGCTTAGGCTAAATTAACAACTTAAAACCCCATTGGTTTATCTTTAAAATGCACTGTCACAAAGCAGAAAATAAGACGTATATGTATAGATGTATAGTTTTCACAGCACCGCGTTGAAATATAAAAAATTAATATGTGGATTTAGTCTGCTTGTTTGACAACCAAAGTTACAATGGCATGGAAGTCAAAAATTAAAGAAAATAAAAACTTGATCCTTAACAGTGCACATGAAGGGCCATGATGGTCAAAAATCACAACTGGCTTTATATGTGGCTTTAGTATATTAAAATAGTTTTGACTTTGAAACTGATCATCTAACTTCTTAATACAAAGGCAAACAGTAATTGTAAGTTAAACATGAGTTTGTATGTGAATTATTTATTTGTGCGTGTGGATGTGCTGTGCTTGTGTAGCTATGTAGGAAGTGATTAAAAACTGCAAATGTGTAGCCATTAAAAAAACAACACTTTTTTGTCAGTCTCAGGGTCAAAACAAATCCTGCATTACTGAAGTGCCATGGTGCATTTATGATAAATGACTTTATGACAAATTGCTGTAATGCGAGGAACTGATATAGAGCGCGGGCTACAATGTATGTAGCTGCAACAGGGCAAAACAACAGTAGGCCTATCGTTGTAGGGCTCCAGTTGTTTCAAATTACATAGGGTGTCTGAGTGTGCATATGTTTGTGTGTGTGCAAAATATATGCCAGTGATTTTATAAAAATCATTGATTTTAAAAAAGCCATCTTGGTTCTTTTTGTCTTTCAACAAAGGAAACAGAAATGATTTCATTATTAAACCATGGTGCAGATCTGCCCATTGCCTAATAGAATAATGCAAGTTTAATCAGCTGCTTTAGCTTGCACTCTGTTGTCATCTAGTGGCTCAAGAATGATACAACATCCCGCATGTGATCAACATTCTGGACTGAATCAAAATGTGCATCACAGCTGCTGGACTCACTCCTCATCCTTGACTTTGAAGGACACAAAATTATCTTGAATCCTCGTAGAGAAATTAATATTAGAATGAGAAAGACACTGTGATATTGGAGCTACGTGTCGGCAATGTTAATGTCAACTGCAGTCACCTATCAAAACTTATATCGAAGCACTTTAATTCCAAATTAACCAAACATAAATAATGGCATCGGAACAGGCTTTTAAATTTCCGTATCCTCAAACTAACAGTTTTCCTGGCAGAACATACACGAGGCATGTGAAAAAAACAATGCATGGCTGCAGTAGATTATAAAACTCTCTGGGATGATACAGCCCTTTTCCTTGGCACACCACGCACATTTCCATGGGATAGACTCGCCAAAAGCCTAATTAAATAGAAAGCACAATTTGTCACGTCAACCAGCCAGGCAGCGCTTTCCAAATGCCAAACGACTGCGCCTCAACTTGCTGCGGGCCGCTTCAACAACAAAAACAAAAATATAACAAAAGCAAAACATCTCTGTTAAAAAAATTGTTTTAAAAACATCTGCAAAGCTGTTTTTCACCACAGATACTGCCGATGATGGTGGCATGCCTACTGCAGCATCATTAGCATCTTCTGCCGATTCAATAAAGCCACCCTTCTTCTGTTTTCGGGGGGGAAATGCATTTGAACTCACCCTTCACGAGACTTGAGATTTAAAGTTATCACCCTCAACAAAACAGAATTCAGCGGGTCCACGGCACAACACGGTCTTCCATCGTTATTGAGTGAGAAACTCAAAATGCAGGTAGCTTCGAGCGGGTCGTTTCTGGAGTTCAAACCCGCACGTTTCAATACGACGCGCAGAAGTCAGGTGTTGTTGTGAGAGGGACCGCGGCTACCTCCTTCCTCTTCTCTCTCCTCTACTTCACTGGGTGAAGCGCGGCCCACTTTAAACTATCGTGACGTCATGGGCGCTGATGCTGATGCTGCCCCCGCCCTCCCCACCCTGACCCCATCACCAGGCCCTACACCTCTACACACACACCTACATACACACACACACACACACACACACACACACACACAATGTCCTCTCCATAAACATAATCCTACATTATTCCTACAACTTGTGAAATATTACTCAACTTGAAAAGACACAGAAGTTAGGCCATAGGCTACAACCTGTAGTGGAAGATAGATTTTTTCCATAAAGGATTATCTGCCTGCTTGCCACACATGACTGCAACCTTCAAGATTATATGGGCTGAAAGTAGGTAAATTGCCCAGAACAGCTTAATTATTATAATTAGATACTATATATTTTTCTGCAAGGATGAACACTTCTGTTCTCCTCTGAACCAGAAAAAAATAAGTTCTAGTTAGATCAGGTAAAATTAGGTTTTCCTTCAGTATTCAGATGATTGGTCAAAATCCACCTGTACTGACACATTCTCACCTGCCTATGACAGATTTCTATGACAGTTTGGAGAGGAAGTCGACTAAAGATTGATGGCAGAAAGTCTTTGCATTTGTGCGTCTAAGCAAGGTTTCAGGCATCACTATGTCATATAGAGCAGCCTCACACCTTGTAATCCTGATATCTCCCAGGACAGACAAGATTCCCCTTTTGATTTTCCACATGGAAGATTTGGAAGCCGAGCATCGAAACTAGTTTCTTATAGTGACATTTAACAGAGGTGTGTTTCTTAGAGGGAGGTCAGGCTGTCAGACCGTTGTAAGGCAAATGTTCCTTCCTTCCAAATGTTTTTTACTGAATGGTTGTGTTAACTGAAAAACCATCCTTTTAAAGAAAGTCCCGTGATATTCTACTTTTTTGTGCCTTAAATCTCCATTGTTGTATAAAACTATTAAAAACATATCAGTGTTGCAGTGTGCAGCATGTCCCTTCCTCACAATGATCACAGGCACTTTGGTTTGTTTAGAGTCAACGCTATAAAAATGTCCTCCTACTGTATACTCAAACAAGCACCAAAAGTGTATTAATCTGCGGCTGAAAATAGTCCCCAACATATGCACCATTTACTCTGGTTTAAGTAACATTTGCTGAAAACTACAGTGTATACCTGTTTTAGGCAAGTACTCCGCCTTTTTGAAAAATGATATTCAGCAGGAACAAATGGGCTTGGTGCTGAGTGCCACAGACAGGGTAGGGTAGTCAGAAAAAACTGAGAGATGGTCTGAGACATTGTTGGTTTTGATCTTTTCATAGGATTTATTGATAATATGACAAATATAGAACACAGGGAAGGTGACAAGTATTGTCCGTGGCTCGGGATCCAAGAACAGCACTTAGCTCTCAATGCTGAACAGATCTGTAGCCACCAATCAACACCTCTGCAGCCACTCCAACCTTGCTTTTGGCCTTTACAAAACTCTGCTGACACTGCTGAGCCACTCAACTGTATCAAAATGTGCTTTTTAAAAGGTTTTTACAACCCATTCGTTTCCAAGCTGTAAAAAAGCATTCTGTCTCACTTTCTCAGTGATTATGTACAATGTCAAACACCCCAAATCCCTGAAATAATAACTAAATTCACATATTGATGCTGTATATATAATATACATTCAAAGGATTACCTAATCTCCCAAATTTGACTGACTAGCTAAATTTAATTGCAATTTGAACAGTATGGGTTCATTACATGAAGATATCTTGTGATTATTTTACTTATTGATCTTTATGGTTTCTAAAGTAACTAGTAACTATACATGTGAAACACACACAATATAGTGGAGTATAAAGTGGCATGAAATTGTACTCAAGTAAAGTACAAGTACAGTGACTCAATTGTGTTCTTAAGTAGAGTTTTAGAGTATATGTATTTAGTTACTCTACACTATCTGTGTCTGTTTACCATGAACTTGTGCAGTTCAGCATAGTCCATCTCCTTAAAACCAAACCTGCAGTATTCCCAGCGGTGTACCCCACTTGTGTGTGTGTTCATGTCTCAGTCATTTGTAAGTACTTCTGCTTCTTCAGTTCAGCTGAGTGTTGGACTTTTGTTTTTCCTACTTTATCAGAAATGTGTTCGCAGGCACATTCTGCGCATGCAGTCCACTGTGTGCCGTCTTTGGCCCGGCTCCAGATGAACTACATCTGCCGAAAACTAAAAGAAGACACATTTGCCTTTGCCTCTGTATTAGCTAACCAAGTTATCTTACTCAAACAGAAGGGCACAGCTCCACCTTCCCACTGCCACCGGCTAAGCGACATTATGTTGTGTATGAAACATGAAAATCCATTACACCACAGGAGAGGGTTGTTTTGGAAAAACATCTCCTGAAGTTGTTTGGTTTTCACTCCTTGATTTTTTCTTTGTTTTCTTTTTATCGTTTTCAAGCATGTTTTATTACTGTTATCTTTTTAAAGATTTGCCTTCATCTAGCCATTAGACAACAAAACACATATTGCTTAAAGCACATTTTAAACATTTATATCACACAAAAAGATTCAGAAGACTGATTTAGTCCTACAGTACACTCTATCCTGTCTAGGAGGATGACAGTGAAGGTGAAGGAAACAATGATACGAATTTCATTCTGTAAAACAGACTTGAAGTCTAAAAATCTGTCCATGTGTTGCAGGTGATTCTCTTGACTGTGGTTTTTAAACCACAGTTCAGCTGAGCCAGAGCCAGCTACAACTACACTCAGGCCATGTGCTACTATACTGTTCCTATTGTCTCCGGTCCACACAAGAGGTATCATGCCATCAGGCACAGAAATCAGGCACTCCTCAAGCCTTTAAAACAGGCACCACCCACATCTGTTTACTTGTCTGTTGGGTCAACAAAGCTGACTTTATCACTGCTTATGCTAACACATTATCTCTTGGGCTACTAGCGCTCACTGAGACCTGGGTCAAACCAGAAAACTCTGCTACCCCTGCTGCGCTGTCCACCAATTCCTCTTTCACCCACACCCCCAGACCGTCTGGGAGGGGGGGTGGGACTGGGTTCTTAATATCCAACAAATGGAAATTCACACAGCTGCTACCCCCGAATCAATATGCCTCCTTCCAATACCATGCTGTCTTTGTGTCCGCTCCGGTAAAGGTCTCTGTGATTGTCATATAGCGTCCACCAAGACAAATGGGTAACTTTGTGGAGGAGCTAGACAAACTGCTGTCTTCAATACCAGAGCATGACTGTCCCCTACTTGTCCTCAGTGACATGAACATTCACTTAGACAGTTCGAACTCAGCAGACTTCCTGTCTCTGATTCAGTCCTTTGATCTAACATGGGTTCTCAGGCCCCCGACCCACAAAGCTGGCAAGGTGCTTGACCTCGTTCTTGTCCGAAACTGTGCCACAGAGTGCCTAACAGTCACACCTCTACATGTGTCAGCCCACTATTTTATTCAGTTCACGGTATGCCTACAGGAAAAGCCCATTGTTCCAACACCGTTGGTCCGTTGGTCTCACACCTCCGCAACTTGTCTCCCGCTCACTTTGCCTCAGTGGTAGTTTCTGCTCTACCTTCCCTCAACACATTTTCCTCACTTGAGGTCAATGATGCGACACAATCTCTGTGCTCTACACTAAGCTCGTGCCTGGATAGCCTGTGTCCTCTATCCACCAAACCAGCTCGCCCAAACCAGTCCCACCCGTGGCTAACTGATACCATCCGTGACCTGTGTCTCTTCTACCATTTTTATCTAAAACTATTGAACGGGCAGTATTCAAACAGGTCTCAGAATTCCTCTCACAGAATGACCTCCTAGATCCATACCAGTCTGGTTTTAAGAGTGCCCACTCTACTGAAACGGCTCTTCTGTCTCTAACAGAAGCCCTAAGGTCAGCTAAAGCTGCAGCTCAATCCTCGGTTCTTATCCAATCCAGCTCGCCCAAACCAGTCCCACCCGTGGCTAACTGATACCATCCGTGGGCTCCGTAATGATCTCAGAGCTGCTGCAAGAAAATGGAGAAAAATCAAAGACCCTGCCGACCTTAAGGGCTACCAAATGCTCCTATCCTTCTCAGCAAGCATCAGTGCTGCCAAAACTGCCTTCTATAATAACAGAATTAGCAGTGCCACTGACTCAAGGAAATTATTTTCCACTTTTAAAGCGCTACTAAATCCTCCTCCACCTCCACCACCCACAAACTTGACTACTGATACCTTTGCTGCCTTCTTAATAGGCAAAGTGGCAGCTATAACTAGCTAATTCTCTGAAACATTCAAACTCAACCATTGTAGCACTCCTGCTACATCTTTTCCTCTGCCTTCCCAGGTCAGTGGTTCTTCACTCTCCTCATTTACTCCTCTCGCAGAGAGCGAAGTATCAGAACTCGTGACCCATAGCCGTCCAACTACATGCCCACTGGACCCGATTCCTACGAATCTCCTCCAAGCCATATCTCCTACCGTGGTCCCGACAATCACTCCTGTGATAAATACTTCTCTGGCTTCAGGAACCTTTCCAACCACTTTCAAAAGGGCTCGGGTTACACCCTTGCTCAAAAAGCCCTCACTTGACCCAACTCAAGTTGAGAACTATTGACCTGTGTCTCTTCTACCATTTTTATCTAAAACTATTGAACGTGCAGTATTCAAACAGGTCTCAGAATTCCTCTCACGGAATGACCTCCTAGATCCATACCAGTCTGGTTTTAAGAGTGCCCACTCTACTGAAACAGCTCTTCTGTCTGTAACAGAAGCCCTAATGTCAGCTAAAGCTGCAGCCCAATCCTCGGTTCTTATCCTGCTTGACCTATCAGCTGCCTTTGACACAGTCAACCACAGGATCCTGCTATCCGCTCTCTCAGCAATGGGCATCTCAAGTAAAGCACTCCTGTGGTTTGAATCCTACCTCTCGGGGCGTTCCTACAATGTTTTGTGGCAAGGACAATTATCCTCCTCCCACTGCCTCTCCACAGGGGTGCCCCAAGGCTCAGTGCTAGGGCCTCTTCTCTTCTTAATTTACACCACCTCACTGGGGCCGATCATTCGCTCACACAGCTTCTCTTACCACTTCTACCCAACTCTACCTATCCTTCCCGCCAGGCGATCCCACCGATCGCGTGGATCACGGACTATCTCTCGGACATATCTGCATGGATGAAGGCTTGCCACCTTCAACTAAACCTCTTTAAGACTGAACTCTTGGTCATTCCAGCCAAGCAATCTATCCACCATAACATCACACTACAAATTGACTCCTCAACCATCACTCCAACCAAGGTGGTGAGAAACTTGGGTGTCATGATTGATGACCAGCTGTCCTTTTCAGACCATGTTGCTGCTGTCTCTCGGTCATGCCGCTTTGCTCTATACAACATAAGGAAAATCAGGCCCTACCTCATTCAGTACGCCACCCAGCTTCTGGTACAGGCCATGGTTATCTCTCGCCTCGACTATTGCAATGCCCTCCTAGCAGGTCTTCCAGCTTGTGCGGTGAAACCCTTACAAATGGTTCAGAACGCAGCGGTTTTTGATCAGCCCAAAAGAACTCATGTCACTCCATTACTCAGTGACCTCCACTGGCTCACCGTGGCCTCCAGAATCAAATTCGAGTCACTAATGCTTGCATACAGAGTGACTACTAGGTCTGCACCCATCTACCTAAACCCCATAATACAAACTTACGTTCCTTCTTGGCCGCTACGCTCCTCCAACGAACGCCGCCTGGCTCTGCCATCCCTTCACACAAAGCAATCCAAGTCCCAGCTATTCTCATCTGTGCCACACGCCATCCGAGCAGGGGCGTCCCTCTCTACCTTCAAGCTCTTGAAAACTCTTGAAAACTCATCTCTTCCGAGAACACTTCCTCTTATAACACTCCTAACTCCTAACCTCTAACATGCACTTCCTGTGCTCTTCTTCTTCTATCCCCTACAATTATTTTGTATTTATTGCACTTTTTTGTTTTGATTGCACTTTTAGTTAACTCTTACTTCCTTCCCTAGGTATTTACCCCATTGATGTGATATGTACTATGAGCTCTTACTAGTATTTATTGCTGCTCTTACTAGTATGTATTGTCAGTTGTAGATCTGTATTTGATGCTCTGTTGATGCTTGTATGTTGTTCCTCAAATGTAAGTCGCTTTGGATAAAAGTGTCTGCCAAATGAGTAAATGTAAATGTAAATGGTTTGAGTAGGAAATCTCAAACAATCCAAATGAGATTAAACCACTGAATAAACAGCAACTATAGAGAAATCAGTGCATGACTTGTCCTACCATAGCTGTCACATCATGTGGCTAAAGTCACTGGACAGATTTGGATGTTTGGGACCCCAACTGCTGGCCTCTCTACTCAGCCAGAGCAACTGGCTGGTGTTATCGGCTGCTTCAGAAGCTGCCTTTGTAGCCTGCTGTAATCCCTGACCAAGAGTCCCTAACTCCCCAAACAAAGTAGTGGTGGATGAGGCAACAAATCCACAGCATCAAACAAGACATAGTGTATTCTGGTTTTCCAGCACTGCTGCTCGTCCTCATCAGTGCATCTGAGCTTGTTCCTTTTATGTCTCATCTGCTGTGAACTCATGGCGCAGCAGTGTCTGGTGAGTAAATAGTGTTGGACTGGAGCTGTAGGTTGGTGGCCTATGTGACTTGTTGTAATTCTCAGTAACCATTTTCCTATGTGTTTTTGCTCTGACATGATAACTGACTACTTTGCCTTTCCACTTCTGGCAGTTAAAGGGTCAGTGCATGCAAAGTACAAAATGCACAGTATTTCAACCAGGAGACACTCATTAAAGAAAGGCTTAAAGAAGTATTAAGATATTAATTTAGTTGATATCATGTGCACAATAAGAAACAATGAAGACACGTCAATGCCTGGAACTGGATAGATCTCTTTTGCAATAATATCTGAGGAAGCAGTGTTAAAGAGACGAGAAAAGAACGTAGCCCATCCAAAGCAACTGGCTCAGATAAAGTATTGTGGTATGGTCATGTTATACCTCCAAAAGGCATTCGATACTGTAAATCATGCCAGTCTACTAAATTAAAAGCATTGGGATTTGACAGCTTAGCCATAAAATGTATCAGCTCGTATCTGAGAGGGAGGTAACAAATGGTGGGTGTGGATGGGAATGCAAGCTGTACAATTGTTTGGGGCCCACTGTTTTTTTTTTGTTATATATTAATTATATGAAATCTGCTTGCTCATGTGACCTCTTTCTATATGCAGATGATTCTTCATTATTGGTATCGCACAAAGGTAAATCAGAGGTTGAAAAAGTCCTAAGCTGTAAATTACTAGATGGTTATCTGACAATAAGCTGTCACTCCATCTTGATAATACGGAGGCCATATTCAGTGGATAAAAGTTAAAGCTAAAGAAGGCCCTACATTTTAAGATTCTGTTAAAAGACACTGAAGTCACAGCCAAGGAATCTGTAAACTACTTATCAGGGGAGAGCATGGCTCAGGCGGAGCTCAACAAAGTTAACCTAAAAAAATCTGATTTCGGGCTAGAGTTTTCTAAAGTTTTTTTGATAGAAATCCATTAGAGACATAGGGGTATGGGCTCTTGTACAGTGTCATTTTGATTATGCCTGCCTTTCTTGGTATACAAGTGCACCTAGGATTCTTAAAAAGATTCTACAGACATCGCAAAATAAACTGGTGAGGTTGTTCCTTAAACTTCCATCTAGGACACATCTTCTTGCAGCTCATTTCATCAGCCTTAAATGTCTGAGGGTAGAAGAGAGAGTTTTGCTGTTTTCCAAAGTATTTGTGCAACTACTTCACCAAAATTAAGGAATGCAATAATTATACCACAAAAGGGGGTATAACTGATTTGGTTCCATTCAGGTTTAAGAGTTGTATGGGTAACGACACTTTCATGCTCTTCTTAATAGCATTGAGAAGAGCAACTCTGTAGCTTTAAGTCCTCATTGAAAAAAAATCTGTGTGAGGCAGTCTGCCCTCAAAAAATAGCAAGGTTTCTGTACTGTCCGGGGACACACACAAATGTTGCTGCTGAATCTCTTTTTTCTTTTATCTCTAGACATGTTAAGACACATATGAAAAATCTCTTCTTTAAATAATAATATCGGTCTGGTAAAGTCCCATTAAAGGTAAGAACAGAGAAACTTTCCCTGTTCTCTAGTTGAATGTGAAAACAGTCTTCTAGAGCCAAACTCTGCATGTAAGTGAGGTGCTGGTTAGAGTGAAATATCATTGTATAACATTCATCATTCTGCATAGTGAAGCACAAACATCCCAGTGAAGTAACAATAAGCAAAACACATATGTCAGTGAAGGCTGACTTTAACAAAATCAAAGTTAACAGTTTTAATATTGTGATTCTGGATACTGTCACACTATCCAAAACAGCCACATAATTATTATGGCTGATTAGTTACAGTGAGGTTGAAGTTAGGTGGGACTCCAACTGAAGTAATAATAAGAAAAACCCATTTTGGAGTGGAGGGGGACTTTAAGTGTCATTTTCCAATGTTTAGAGAACCACGAATGAAATTACATTCACCTCAAGTATATTGGGGTGGAGGGGAAATCTCAGAGACTGAAATCTCAAAACCTGGGTAAATAAAAACCAAACGATCATCGACCAGTAGAGAGGTAAATGAAAAAAATATTGAATATTATCATTTGATCAAATATAATAATCTCTTGTAAGACTGCTTGTACCCTGATTCCCACAAGTAATCAAAAAGATGACTCTAAAGTGAACTACAAAAGCTTTACTCTCATAACCACTTTATTAGTCTAGTGTTATATTGTTTAATATTTGTGAACATTTTTATTTAACCACCTTGGAGTTGGTTGGAGGGGCAGCTTGGTGGGTGGGTGGGGGTTGTGGGGTTTGTTTACAAAACAATAATAATATATATTCAAAGCTGAAGAAGCTTTAATGTTGATTCACTCTTTTCAGTTGTTACATATCAGTTTTGATGACATGATTTTTTTAAACCTTAAAGATGAAGTACTTCTAAGACTGTGCTCGGATATGAAGCAAAGGGAAAAAAATGTATGTTACATTACTGCAACACCTCCCATCAAGTCTAGCAGACCCTTTACATTCCCACAAGTCACATATAGTGAAAACAAAAGTGTTGAAAGTGTCGATCAAAGGTTCTAAACGCTGTTTTTGAACCCTTAATACAAAACAATATTAACAGCACTTGCAACTCCTCGTTTCATTGTGCATGTTTATAAGTTGTGAGCAGTTCATTAGAGTTATTTTAAGTTATTTAGGGTTAGGGTTTGTAGAGCAGAATTTAGTTCAGGGGGTCTCAACCCCCCCAGAAGAAGGAAATCCACTGGTGTAGATGTTTTATGGTCTACATGGGAGACCGGGATTGTAGTCAGTCCTGATGTACTCGAGTGCCCACAACCCAATTTTTCAAAAGCAACTTAGAATTCACTCAGTTCTTGTCCATGGGCTCGAGATAGGAAATGACCAATCTTTCCTCCCTGTCAGTCCTGGTTTATGGAGAAAAAGATGATTTTGGCAGCAAGATGCTTTTGGTAAACCAGGCACGACTCAGTGGCCTTGTGTCTGTCAGGACAATATGGAGAGCCTTCAGAGCAGATTGTAAAAATGGCAGCCAGTTCCAAGTTGATATCACATCTACATAGTGAGGTTAGGCTGACAGCTGACACATCTTTCACTAGGGAAGGTGATGTGATCAAACAGGTGAAACCATTCATTGGTGATTCTGATAAATGTTTTACACAGAGGTCAAACAGTCTGTCTACATATCCATTCTGTGATCTATCTGAAAGAATAGATAAGAAAGTTTAATGAATAAGTATGTTGTGCTGATTTTAAAGCTGCAAGGTGCAAGTTGACAGAATGGCTTTGTTTATTAAGCTGTTGGAGATTTGTTATTTTTGTATAAATAGTAAGCAGGGCACTGGTGGAAAAAGAAAAGAAAGTTTGGGACCGGTGAGCATAAGTCTGAGCTCCTGTAAAAGTCAGACCTCTTGTGCAATATAAAAATAATCAGCAGCAGCTTCTTTTAATCCTCTCAACAGCCACAGAGAGTGTCAACAATAATAAAATGTACCAAATGTACAAAGGGAAGTATTAAGGATGTAGATGAACAGCAGAAAATTTACAGAACGTGTCACTGGATTTGTGGGAGGCTGATGATAACGTGGAATAAAGAATATGGTGAAATTATTTAAAAGGGCTGTTTTCAAACGAGAATACTGGTTCGTGACCAGTCTGTTAGAGAAGAAAATCCTGGAGGTGTAGAGTAATGTTGGAGCATAGTTTTTTAGCTTTATTTATACTGCTTGATTTTATCATTGTTAAGGTCAGTGGTAAACCCATAAAGGAACAAAAATTCAAATTCTAAATGACCAAATTTGGACACTAACAGTATGAAAAAAGTTAATGCAAAACGTAACTGGTAATTAAAGGTATGAGTATAAAATTGTATAAAAAGGAAATAGTCAAGTAAATAACAAGTAGCAAGTAATGTTCTTTTAGATTATGTGTGCCGTCAGCATGGTAATAGCACATATTGCCAGCAGAGGGCGTGCTGTCCCAATTACAGCCACGCTGTCCGGAAGACGAATGTAAATATTTTTGTGACGTTTCATCTCCCTGATCATTCACGTCCACCCATTAAGGAGAATATCAGACCCTCCAGCTCATGGTTGCGCTGCTGTGTGTCTTACTCAGTCACTAACCTGTCTGACCTGCCTTTTTTTGATAGCAGAGCTCTTTTTCTTCGGCTTTCCGTCCAAACCGCTGTAGGTCGTGTGTTTCTACAACAGCTTGGTTTTTTTTGTGTATGTGCAAGATGCAGAAGAGAAGGAAGCCAGAGCCGATCCAACTCAACCCGATCCCAGATGGAAACACGATCAACGGCACTGGAGCCACAGAGTGAGTGTCAACATTTATCTGCTACTGATATCCCGACTGGTGAATGAGAAATGTTGATGACGGCTGTCAGATGCGTTATGTATGCCAGATTTATGTTCAATATGCTATAAAAGCTCATGACAACTCTGCAATATATAGATAACTCTTTACAGTATATGTAAACTTATTTCTTAGGTCTTTCTATGAGGTGTGTGTGTGTGTGTGTGTGTGTGTGTGTGTGAGTGTGTGTGTTTGTGTTTGTGTCGAATAATTGATTATCTAAGTTCCCAGAGCTCTAGATGAAACCTTCAAATCGTTAATTATGTGTGATGCACCTACATTTTCATTATTGATTAACCATTTGCTGTTTTTTTTTTCGATTAATCATATAGACTGTACAATGTAGGGAAATAGTTAAAGAAAAATACCCCTTAGCTCTTAAAACAGTATTTTCTGTCAGACTAATTGTCCAAAACATAAAGATAGTCATTTTACAATAATATGAATTGTATTGTATTTTATGCTTGATAAATTACCGAAATGATCATATCATAATAGTTGACTAGTGGACTAATCGATTAATGATGCAATTGTTTCAGCCCTCATAAGCAACTAAAATCCAACCAACAAATCGTCATTTTTAGCAACTGGCGCCAGTCGATTTTTTGGCATTTTTGCTTAATAAATACCAGCGGTTAATTGTACTGGTTTACACTAAATATTGCAGCTGCTAAAATGTTCATGATACCAGTTAATTATTATTTTTACTTTCAGTTACAAAATCGAAAGATCATTGGAAATAGACCTGTTTCACAGCCCACATGTTGGCATGTCATAACAGGAAAATCATGGGTGTAATTAATTAAACATTATACAAAAAAAAGAAATAAATAACATTATACATGGCTGCATTCCATTTAGGTGAGCTGGCACGGCTTATTGGGACATACAGTATGATGGAACCATAGACTGTATAAAAGAAGTGGATGTATCCACCATGATGTCACCCATTGTTTGTGGACTACAGTTTTGAAGCCTCGAGTTCGGCATTTTGGCCATTGCCATCTTGGTTTTTTGGAACTAGAAGTGACCATATTTGGACGAGGGGGTGGAGCTAGCTAGCTTGGTTAGTAAGGTGCATATTAATGGAGATGTTACTTTTGGCTAGCAAAAAACAGACTTTAAAAAAAAAGCACTTACTGGGGAAAAAAAGAACAGCCGACTCCATAGAATGTTTTTTAGTAGAACCGACCACTGAACAAGAAATTACTAGGCGACCAGAAGTGTTACAATTAACTTTCATGAACTGAAAACACACTGTGAAGGGTCAATGTTCTTCTGCTGTGCTCCATTTACCTTGGAAGTTGGAGCTCAGGACTCAGATTGACATCTGTTTTAAAAACAAGGAAACCTGCGTTTCATGCAACCCTTGTTGTTAGCAACATAAACTTAGCCAGTTTTAGCAGCTCCATTCGATTAACAACACATTACGCTGTATTTCACACCTAACAGGATCGTAGCAACATACCAATAGGCAACAGTAAGACAGTATTGTGTATACAGCTTACTAAATTGGAAAGACAAAAGGGCTAAAAAAAAAACTTGAATACCACAGCTTTTACTACAGTCGATGCTCTTTGCAGCCATCTTGCTTTCTGAACTCAGGGTCCTCTGAGTTTGTCTGACTTGATGAAGAAGTATTCTGACATTGAGGGACTTTCCATTTGTCACTTCCGGTCTTGGAACTCGGAAAATAATGCGGAAAATTAGTTCGGACCAATAACATATGCTCTGAAGCACACCCTGATTTGTCATCTATTTTACTCTAAATGGAAACTTAATTAACTAATTGAACATTATGTTGTATTGAAGAAGAGTTGAAACCAGCGATTGAAGCCATTAACTCAATGGAAAGTGTTTATGGAGGTAATAAATCAAGTGAGAAGTAGGGTCATTTTGGCATAGACTCCAATGCAATCAGACTTTTATTTTGCAACTAGTGGACTCGCCCCTGCTGGCCATTTGAAAGACTGCAAGTATAGGGCACTTCCACAATGGTTTCAGACCCAGAGGTTGCTGCTTGGATGGAACTGAGCCATCGTTAACAAAATTTGTTTCACCTGTGCTTTTCCTGCTATGACAAGTCAAAATGTTTGCAAAGGTCTATAATGTGCAGC